TGTTATTTACATGCAGAAAACAGTTGTGGCTGTCCTTGACCAGATGGTGAATCCTCATTGGCCACACCTTCCAAAACGGAAGGAAACATACAGCAATGAAGAAGAGAGAGAGGGAGTTGAAGGTGCCTGGAATTCAATCACTGATGATCCTTTGGACTATCAATTTTATTATCATATCTTGGATGGTGATGAGGGAGGGCGGCCTCCTAAGATTGAGACCTCAGCAGAGAAAAAGGAGAGAGACAATCCACATTTTAATTGGAGGAACAAATCTTGTTTGGAAGTCATAGCAAAGAGCAAAAATAAGGTAAGATCAAAACCTTTTTTGTTGTGACAATGAAGGCTACTTAGAAATGATGAAATAACTATAGCAAGAAGGATGTTTTTATTTCTGTTACAGCTAGATCAAAGAGGGCAAACTAAAGCCCAGCTTGCCTGGCAAATCCATTAGAGTATCAATTACAATATCATATGAGATGCATTACATCCATATTTGTCTTTAACTTTAACTTTCTTCCAACATTAATATTCATGACTACATAATAAACTTTTGGGCCCACCCGCCCTTATATTGATAAAGATAAAAAATTTTCTGCATGTTGAGGCTTCATGTAATAGGGTATAAAAAGAGATGGGAAAAGCTGGGGGGCCCTGGACAGGGCCGTGCAAGAAGCCAATTTAAATTGAAAGGAGAATTTAAGAAGAGAATTTAAAGTGAGAGTTGTGCTCACATGCTAAACATGCTGAGTAATTGAGTTAGGTTGACCCAGCTGAGAAAATGTTTGGCCCAAGATCATCAATACTTTCCTTTCATTCCTCTCAATCAATAATTGATTTTTTTAATTACATGGTAATTTTATTCTGCTTAATTTTCATCTTCAGGAGGCTTTGCAACATCCTGTGGTAAGAATGTTGGTTAAAACAAAATGGAACAGTTATGGACACTTGTTTCTGAGGTAAAAGTATTTGAGGCTTGTAACATAGTTTTCCTAAGCAAGCTGACAGCTAATTTTTAACAGTAGCCCTGCAACTTTAGCACTTCCTTCCTTCCACACAGGGTTCCCTATTAACAGGCTAATGAAACGTGCATAGTCAGTTACTAGATTCACATCTACTGGTTAGTCTGGGAACCTCTACAAGTTAATTTAAAACATGTTTTAAATAGTTTAATGAAAATTTTTTCAAGTCCAATAATGCATCTAATAGCTTCTTCACCTAACTGCTTCCTACAGAAGTGAAACGTGTCTATAAAACATCCCCACCGCTGGTTGTTAGACAGAGTTCTCTGATTATAATGCATATGTTCATGATAATGTGATATGCATATATTTACTCGGTTTATCTCTTTTTTTTCCACAGCCTTCAAGCAGCTTTGTATGTCATCTTCTTGCTGTTCTTGTCATATTCTCTGCTTCATGCCTCCACAAAACTGGACCCCACCCAGTACAGGGGTACAGCAGATTTACTTCGTGGGATTTGTGAAGTGTTCACCCTTCTTATGGTTTTGTTTTACATGTGTGAAGAAATCAATCAAATTAGAATGTAAGTCATGAAACTTTTTGATTTGCACTTTTTTTCATTTCAATTAATTTTTAACAAATTTTGTGGTTGATATAAGTACTTATTATGTTACACTATTGTTGCACATTTGACTAACAATATGGTAGTATTAGTGCTGTTTTGAGAAACTGCTCTATAATGTTGAGTAATTTAATTACATGTAAAAATTGATACCATGCACAGAGATATATCATAATACATAAAAGGGTTCAATTTAATATTCTGGGACGTAGTTAATTTCAGATCAAGAATTCATAAAAACCTGTTGGGCTTTAAGAAAGTCTGGGTCTTAATTCTTGTGTCAAACTGGTTTCTTTCAGAAATGGCTGTTCATACTTTATTGAGTGGATAACCTTGTTTGACTGGTTAGGCCTGGTGTTGATCCTGTGTGTACTACCCTTGCGGTATATTGGTAGTAAATCACAGTGGTTGGTGGCATCGTCAGCTTTCCTATTTAACTTCTTGAGGATATTAAAGTTTTCTTGCCTGACGAGGTAATAAAATACTCAAACTATGTTTGGTTGAATTTTAATGTTAATTTATTGTTCTCTGTAAACTTCTATAGTTTGAATTATGACGAAGTTTGTGCTGTGCGACTTAGAGACCCCCCTAATCAAGTGTAACTTCAGAGGTTTAAAAAGGCCAAATTAATTTACTATTTTATAATGGAAGAAGATCGAAATAGGTTCTCAAATAAAGACCTTTAATTTTATGTTTCGATGATGGAGTTTAATCTGACTTGTAGAGGCAGACAAAAACTTAAAATTATTAGCATAACTTAAATTTCTGGTCTGGTGCTGGTTACAGTTATCCCTTGTGTTTCAATTATTTTGTTAATGTGCTTGGTTTTGTTTAGTCTTTTACCTTGGTGTTGTAACAGACTTGTTTTTTTAGAGGAACGTTTATTCGTGATCCTTATTATTTGAGTTAACAGAGACCTATGCTTATTTTGCCTGTAGGACCACAGGGTTATACACCAAGACCTTGGCTAAGATTATTCAGCAAGATTTAGCCCGCTTTCTGGCTGTTTTTTCCGTGATTTTTTTTCCTTTCTGCTCTGCCTTGTTTTTATCTCTCCGTTCTTCTCGTCAAATCCCAGATAACAAGGAATTTAGGTGGGTATCAAGGAGAAATAAACTCCAAAAACCACTGAATGTTAATCTCTGCCATTAGAAGCGTATAGATTCCCGATGAGGGCGGTTTTTTTAAGTACACAATACTCTTGGTCGTTACCATTCATCAAAACTTGGTAAAATTTGGTCGAGATTTGAAGAAAATGTCAGGGAAGTTTTTGTCGATGTTAGACAACTTTCTCTAAAGATGAAGATTTTTCTTTCTTTTTGGTTTTCTTTTGGGTCAAAATTCTCTCCATTTCCAATCTCAGTTTTTTCTATGCTTTAAAAAGGTCGTATTTGATGATGACGATTGCACAAGCGTGAAAATATTCTGCAAGCCCAATTAACTTTGTTTTCAAACAGAGCATCCATATATTAATCTACAGCAGCTCTGTTTTTCTTTAGTGGCAGCTTTGACTTTGGCTCGTCATTCGTATGGCGGCTTTAGCCACAAAGAAAATCACTTTTTATTCACTCTTTGTTTTTAGTGGTTTTCAAAGTGTTTTGTTAAGAGGTTTTCGTGCACTGTCTGAACAACGACCAATTGCAGAAGATTACTCTACTTTCAAGTAAGTGCCTTTGACTGAAGTGCATGTAATGTATACGTTACATATGTTACGTTTTGTTCGTTACGTTTCGTTACCTTAAGCTGCGATACGTGCTCGTTCTTGCACGAATGTCGTGATTGTTAATCGTTGAAAGTCACTGATTTCATTAGTGTTGTCCTTGCAGTTGGCTCTCCATTCTGTTAATGCTCGCGTACATGGGGACAGTGATTGTGATTCTTCTCAACATACTCATTGCACAGATGAGCACGACCTACATTCAAGCCAAGAAAGTTGCTCGTCTGGAATATGATGTGGATCGTATTTTACAGCTCACACGCATGGAAAGATTTCCTTTTCTGGTAGGTAGGCGGTAAGGCATGGAGATCGTGTTTCAAAGACGTGTTTACTGGTCAGCGTTTTTCTTCTTGGGTTGTAGATTATTCATATGCAATAAATCTTTCGTTGCCAATTTCGTTGCTGTGCAGTTGTGTAACCCGAATGAATTTGGCGTGAATCCTAACCCAAGTAATGCATCAACTCGATTTCTTTTTCTACTAGATGAATTGCAGATGAATAGATTATTCACCTGATTTACTCATTTTTTTACGCGTTGTAATAAATTGTTCTTCCAGAATCTGCGTGTAAAGTATTACAAAAAGGGAGGCTGGATTAGCGAAAAGAAACTAGCAGAAGGTTTGGTTTTTGTTCAGACCGATTGAAATTCTTATGACTTAATGATTACCTCATGGGTAATGGCTCTAAGAAGGAAAAATTCCGGCTTCATCTTTAACTGATGGACACTTACCAACTTTCAGTGTTTATTAATGAAGTCTTCAAGTGTTTTCATCTTGAAGTCGGTTTAACTGGTCGTCTCGCCTTTTAATAGAACTTCTAGAATTTAGTGAAGATCGTAGTCCTTGGGAATCAGTGGAAGATAAGCTCTACGCGATCAGGTGAGAATCATATTTTCTATCTTTTTTACCACCGACCACTTACAACCACGCAAGCTTAAACTGTTGACGCACTTGCCACTCGCCCATTTAAGCATCCTCTCAAATAATTTGCGCCTCAACAATTTTCCTAAATGAGACTTTTTTCGTTCAGGGATAAGATGAGGAAAATGATCAAACAGATGAGGCAACAAAGAGAGTAAACAGCGTCTGTCAGGAACCCACAATGGGAATATGTTCATTAAAATTTTAAAACTTTGTCTTTCTTTCAGATGTGTAACATGTTTCCAACCTTTTTCGCGCAAAAATATTGACCGATAGGGTTTCCTCGTCAACACTCTAAAGAAATTTCGTTTAGTCGAGTAATGTTTAGGAGCCATGCAAACCGAAAAAACCACAAGGTCTAGTAGGAAAAGGAAACATAAAAATAAAAAGACAAGCATTAACAAGATACTGATTTGTAAAGCACATCTTAACAGAGTAATTTATTGTACACTGATGTGATTTGAAAACAAAAACTACAGCAAAAACGAAAAGGGTCCAACAGTGAAGGGTCCAACAGTGCGTAGTGTCCAGAACACTTACGAAAAATTGAATTCAAATGCAGAGCTGTTCTTGTTGTTGAAATATTCGTCGAGTATAAAAAAATGGTCACAGGTACAACAGGCTAAGAAAAAATTGTAATAGTTAACACTTTGATTACTGAATTTTTCATAACCTGTTGTGCCTTAATTGCTTTTGAAAAATGACATTATTATGGCAATTCAAGAGATTATAAAATCTTGGAAAAATTTCATTGACAGGCTATTACGACTTTCATAAATGGGTCAATGCGTTGTGGAACAAATGTCTTCATTTATAGTTTCTTCGTGTTGCGATTTGCTGTTGGAAGCTAACCATCTGGTTAGCCACTCTTGGCATTTCATTTTGACATCCACAGTCTCCTGCGACCGCGAGCTTTCAAGCAAAGCTTGTTCAGTTAAACTACACGTAGAAACTGCAGACCCAAAATGCGGGTTAGTGTCATGGTCCGACAATTTTACTCTTTCTTGAGGAGCTCGAAAATCGGCAGGGCAGCTGACGCATTGTCTGTTTAAATCCATTCTGTCGAAATCCGAGAAGTGCACACGACTACTGTTACAGGTACAAACTGCTTTCGTCATGTCTATTACACGTTCTTTGTGAATTCGCCGTTCTGTGAAAGGAAATGGAGGTCCCGTTGAGATTTGTTTTCCTAAAAGCCGGCGTCGCGTTTTCAGAACAGCAAGTGAAGTGTCTGATTGTTTTAGGGCATCGCCACCATCGAACGAATTTCTTTTGGTCTTTAAAACAACTTCTCTGAGTTTCACACAGTGTTCGTTTGTCTGCAAAGTGCAGTTTAAACTTTCACCATTATGAGAGGCCGTAAAATTTTTAAACGCTATCAAGTCAGCATGAAGTGATTGTTGCGATTGAACACACATGTGAGGCCGTGCAGCTAGCTTTTCTGTATTTCGCACTATAGTTTGCTTTCGGTTCAAAATATTCCTGAGGTCTGACTTTATCTTATGTGTTCTTTCTCGAGGTGAGACTCGGCTTGCCGATTGATCAGGCGAAGGCAACGAAGTCGAGCCTTTCGAAGTATTCGACACCTGGTCGGATTCATTCGGAGAATCAGCGAAGTAAGCCGCAACATCGTCGCTTGAATCTTCACCAAATCCGCTGTCAGTTTTCGAAAGACGGCTTCGTTGTTTTCTAAGTTTCTTTGCGCGATCCAATGGCTGAGAGAATTGGGGTGAATCATCTCGATCCTCATCCTGAAAGTTCAGTTTAGAAACGAATAATCCTTCTAAGTCATCCATGCTCTTTCCTCCATTTTCTTCCAACGCAACGGTGTTATCTCTAAGTCGGCCCTGTTTCACAACCTTCTTTGCATGTCCTGGATTCGTTCCTTCGCTGTTCTTCAAACGTGCACGAGCCATTGCGAAGTTTTGTGTTAGTTGAGTAGTTGTAATGTCGGGAAGAACAAAACTTTCTCTTGTTTGGCTTAATTCAGGAAGAGAATACCTTCCAGTTAGTACTTTACCTTTCTTAATTCGCGCTCGTTCTGCAGCAAAATCTATCGTATTCCTCTCCACTCTTTCTTTAAAGGCAAACATCTCGTGCGCTGAGTTCTTCGACATTGCCAAGGTTTTTACGCCAAAAGGAGCAACTTCTTTCACTGAACAGTCAATAAACAAATTTAATGAGCTTAACGTCGTCTGGATGAGGTGTGAAGAGCATTAATTACGAGTTGATTGGCTCATAAATTAAAGCAAAACAGTATATATCATTCACTCGTGATTTCGCTGAGTGGAGAACTTGTAGGATACTTGTTTAAATCGTCCTTTGGAAATGAGAAACTGGCAAAACGGATGTTATCTTTAAAGGACGAGAGATCACGTTTGTTCCGTGTGGGTAGTTACGTTGCAATGACATCTTTTGTTTTCCCAAACAAACGAGGAACATTCCAGAGAAAGTTTATGAATATTTTAAGTCTTTACAGACTTTTTCTCTTTTGTCATTTCCAGCGTTCTCTCTGACAATTAGCCTATGAACTCTACTATGCTTTAATACTTCTTGATGAAATTTCAGAGTATTTTAGTCCTTAAGGCAAACTGTTGAACTTCGAGAGAAAGTTTATGAATATTTTTATCTTGGTCTTTTCAAACTTTTTCTCCTTTGTCTTTTCCAGCGTTCTTTCTGACAATTATCCTTTGAACCATAAAATGCCTCTGTTATTTAATATTTCGTAATGAAGTTTCAGAGTATTTTGAGTGCTTCAAGCAAACTATGGAACTTTGAATATGTAAGAGTAAAAGCAGTCACAGTCGCTTGCACGATTACACAGCGTGAAAAGAAAAAAAAAATAAAACAATGAAGTCCTAATTTGTTAGTGCTTATTGTTGGGAAATTCAGGGAAAAATATGTCTGAGCGCGTCTTTAGTAACAAAAGCGAACTACGCGCAAAGAATATAATTAAAAACGACAAGATTGCGACACAATGCCAATGGAGATAAAAAATATTACTGTAATAGACGCATGGGTCGGCAAACCTTTAAACTCTTTATTTGAATAACCCACTGTTAACCCTCTATTAAACCACTTGCCTGCAATTATGTTTTACGTGCAAATATTTGCTTCTCTATCTGAGCGTGGGGAGGTGTTGAAGTTGAAAAAGCCACGGAGGCTATCGAACTGCACGTGCCTCCGCGGGGTTTGGACGAAAGCGTGTGTTTGCAAAGACTCGCCGTTCTGTTTGAAGAGTCGACGCACTCTTAACATGCATTCCGTTTGCGTAGGGAAACTTTTAGTCTATACGATAATTAAAAACCTCCGTAAAATTCTCGTACAAGCTTTGCGCATACCTGGAGAAAACTAACTTCACAAGTTAACGCGTACAGTCAAGAGGAGCGGTGATTGTCTTCCTTTGGTTTATATTTAAATTAAGTGGTAAAATTTTTTAAATTAAGTGGTAAAAGAAGGAGGCTAATATCAAGCAAGAGAATGTAAACTCTTGTATCAAGCCATCTTTATCGAACAAACTTGAACAACAAACGATTTATTACACATAACCGCGATAACTCCAGCCTCCCGCTTAAACGAACTGTTTTAACTGTTTGTTCTAGAGATTACTCCAGAGAATTTTGCTTAGGAACTTCAGTAACCAAACACAATACACAACTCGCATCATCCAATGATACGGAAATAACATGTCCCTCTCTAAAGGAGAAGTGTGCCCCATATGTTCATACCATTTTAATCCCAGCCATTGAAAAATAAATATTAAAAAATAACCGCTTGCTGCGTTTTTAGACTCCAACGAGTCAAGTTGTCATCAAATTTTCCTCACTTTCGACAATCCAGTAATGCAATGGTCATCGCAAGTGAATAAAGAGGCCCGATAACATTCAGTTCACATGACGGGATCCTTGCTTTATCTGATTTCCATCCGCTGGTCAAATAAAGTTTGCGTAATTAAAAATTTGAAATATTCGACTATGGCCGCGGCCATTTTGAAATTGATTCAAAAGTCTTTCAGCACGTGTATGACATCCCAGGATCGGTTCAAAATAAGCTGCTACTCGTGGATATCATTATTTGAGTGATGTCTTTTTGCATAGCTCCTTAATCAAACAAATCTTGTAGAGGAGAGAGGAATGAGACTTAAGACACAAGAGGCCAGGCTGCTAAGCTAGGTTTAAATGGCAGCATTTAAGTTCGCAGTTTTCCACAACTTTAATTGTAATTTTCGAAAGGTTCAGTTATCCTTTGGAACCAAAAAACGGAAACGATCAGTGGTACAATTTCAGATGCACAATGCACATGTTATTGGTGGAGATGAAAACTATGATTTTGAGCGCGTTCTTCCCCTACAAAACATCACATCGGGAAGAGTAATAACTAGAATGAGTGGCGATAACAGTTGGCACCCCTCCCCTTAGTGGGTGGTCTATAACACCCCACTCGATATAATAAACAGAAATCTTGTAATTCATCTCAAATACATTACTTTTTCCCCAGAGCAATGTTGGCTGCAATCAGTGGGCATTTTGTTAACAACCACGCAACATTGAAATCGGGGAGAGGGGAAGACAAATGAAAGCTTAAGGAAAAATTCAAATAGTAGTTGAGCGCGTCACTCATGGTGGTTTCCTTTTCGCTGCTTTTTCCTCTCGGCCTTTAGTGGATCAGTGGATATACCACTTTCCATAAACCCTTCAAAACGTCCAAACAAACACAAATACTGGCAATGTCAATCATTTCTCAGCGACCTGAGATCTCTTTGAAACCGACAAATTATGGATACATTCACCGATTCATTAAAAAAGTTTATTAATGGTAATGAACGAAGTTGTCAAGACCTGATATTCTTCTAACTTAATTTATACGTACGGAGAAGTAGAATCTAGTTTCAATTCTAGTTTATACAATAGGCTGAATAACGTACGCATTTCAATTAATTCTTGCAATCTATTGGAGGAAAGACGCACAGATGATGCTACCATTTAAATTTTTTTGCTTCTTTACTATATAAAGCAAATAGATTCCATGTACAGTAACAGACCTCAGAAGACGTTAAAATGCGGTAATAATATCAGTGACACACTAGACTGCGCCTCGCGCGCCACATTTTATTTCTTACCAAATTTTGACGTCATTTGTGACGTATCACTGAACAGACACATGGCACCATGAAATATATTTGTTAAATGGAGTCTTTTCAAACTTCATGGGTTCATTTTGTAAACGTTGGACAGTCGTCGTTCAAAATAGTACACACTGAGTTGACCTTCGACAGTAATTCATTTTAATCATTTCTTACTCAAGTCCTGTAAATTATATAATATTTTTCATTTGAATTTCGCTTCAACCTAAAACGAAAGAAAACGAATAGTTGTTTTTTTAAGCCTAACATACACACGACCTATAAAATGAATTGAATTCAATATTAAGTCATTTATGAAGGAAAACATTTGTCTCAATATTACTCTTTTAAAAAAACAATTCTACCTATAGCACTGAACATTTGAATCAGAACCGAAAGATCGATGGAGGCAATCTTCTGCGCATATGACCTGAAGTGGTTCAAGCACTCTCTAATCCAACTACGGTGATCGTCCAATCATTTCCCATAGCTAAATTCATTTTCCATTTTCCTCTGATTCACTTAGAAATTCTTAAGACTCTTCCAAATCTTGGTCTTGCTGACTCCCAGTCACAATTTGTAAGGCCTCCTGCCAAGCAGCCAAGCACTAAGTAGAAAATAGACGAAGTTAAATTTCATTTTATGGCTACTACTACTCGAAGGTCATGTCCCTGGACTGACTCCTAGCGCTTTGTACAATAAGATCCAGTTTTAATCAAGCAGGTTTTCAAATGTGCTGTACCACTTGCAAGCTACAAACAGGCAAGGTAAATGGCAGGAGAAAATTCCCACGGAAGACCGCACTTTTTTTCGTTTTCTTGTTTTTCTGTTTTTTCATAAGAGACGTTACAGGCACCTAGGTCCCATCCCCCACACTCTTACCATGCCCTTACCTTGCTATTGGAGATTTGCTATTCCCAAATTCGAACATTTCGACCTCGAATTCAGCGCGTCAACCACCTGACTGTCACATTTCGCTCAATTTTTCGATGCTACGAAATGACGATCTGTCTAAACACAGCGCCACCTAGCTTCTACAACGCTCCTTCATCCGCTGACACATTTGACCGCTGTGTTTCTCTTCTATCCTTAGCTCATCTTTGAACCCTATATCCAGACTAAGACGATACGCGAGCCTTTCTGATCCGATGAATTAGAGGATAGCCACCTACCTCTTGGTAATAAGTAATATGTCTCTCTGAATACTCCGCGAATAGTTCTCTAAAGTCTGTTCTCTTGTTCTTGTTCCACCGTTCAATGTCCGCCTTTAGATCAACATTAGCACACTCGAGTCGATCACTTCCCTGCTCGGCGAGTTTTGAAAGCTGACAGAAACAAAATTCTGAGTCAACAAAAATAGTGGCTAAACCAGAGGGGGTGTTTGTGCACTTTGACTGGCGCGCTTATCACAGATTATACTTGAACGCCGATTTACGACAAAAAAGAGAAAATGCAAAACAAAGCCCTCTTCTCACCAGAAGATGCCGCCATAACGATAGGCAAAAATTGATATGCGATGTACATTTGATATGCAGCTTAAGACCAAAACTTTCGCGGCCAAAGTGGATGTGCGACTTACAAAGAGGATTCTCAAAGCGACTTCGCTTTCCACGCACATTCAGTAGACATCTTATTCACACTTCATGCAAAAGTTATTGTCACACCGCGGCACTAGGAAACACCAATCAATACTTCTGATTTCTCGGAGGTAGATATATATAAAACGGTATTTTAACTTTTTTTTCCTAATGAAGCGGTGTATTTTTTCATGCTTGAATAATTAACTTATTTATTCAGCTTTTCCTATCTAGAATACAACACTTATATGTATAAAAATTATTGGGTAGGGAGACCACGACAGCCCGACCAATTGCAGTGGACCCCTTCGTTAATAAATGTTAATAACTAAAGCTACTCAAACGAGAAGAATAAGAAAAGGAACAAAACAAACAGGCATAGGAGAGTCCTCGCTAAATTGCACTTGGGGACTAAATTGTTCCCTAGGTTCCAATGTCGTCAACGTCAAGCAGATCTAGAGTTTAATTGCATAATAGAAGTAACGAACGTTTAAATGAAGCTGAAGAGTTGTGAATTGTGGGTAACTTAGCAGGTTTTGATTGGCTGTTACAACAAAATGACATTCTCTGATTCACTGACCTCTTCTATATTAGAGTCCACTCTTTCTCGTTTGTCTTGTTTCGCCTGCTCTGGGTCTTTACTAAAGAAGCCAAAACTACGTCCACCGCCAGTTCCTTTATCAAGCTGAAAAGTTGAAGTTTCTTTCATTAACACAAAAGTGTTTGAGTCAAATTGTTTTATAGTATCTGCCAAATCGATCGCT